TGCTCTCCCAGAAGGCTCTGGTTTGTTTTCCAGTACCCACATGGCAACTATCAACTGTAACTCTAGTCCCAAAGGATCTGACATCCTCTTCGGACCTTCTCAGGCACTTCACACACATAGTACACAGACCTACATGCAGGCAAGACACCCATACACATGAAGTAGACGGAAACAATAGCAACAACAAAGAGCTGTCAACAAGAGGTGGATGTTAGCTGCTGCACACAGGTCATGCGAGATAAAGGTGAATAGTGTCTCTTGTATTCAGTGACAGGGAGTTTGTTGGTGTCATACACAGGGAGAAGTTGCTATTACAACCCCCACAGCAGTTCTGGGCCCTGGACACATTGTATTTATTCTCATTTATTTGCTCTGTGTTGAGCTTTTAGGGACAGTTAGTTTCATGGTGCCATTACTTGTTTGAAAGGGTGATGGAAGTCTCTAGGGTCTCTTTATAAGAACGCTAATCTTGTTTTGCCAGGGCTCCACTTTCTGAACTGATCAACTTCCAAATATCCTCATATTGGGGATTATGCTTCAATATACAGATTAGGGGTATGGGGCATCTATAGCAGATGTCCTAACCAGGAGAGTAGATTCCTTTCTGATGAAGACAGGAAGGAAGAAGGCAAGGGGTAGGAGGATGCAGTTGGGTAGAATAGAGAAAGTTTGTTTATTCATGTCAGCCTCTATTTTCTCTCTTAAGATACCGAGTTCCTCATTTATGACAAAAAAAAAAAAAAAAAGATACATGGTGGGGGAACTGAGGGCTAAGTGTCACAAGTGGGGGAACTGGAACTAAGTGCCATGGAAAAGATGAGTATCCCTAAGCCTGGGTCCTCACACTCTGAAGCATTAATCTAATTAACCTTTAACAATAAAAAAAAAATCAGGAGTTAAATATCAGGTAAGAACAAGAAAGATGAGAGAAGCAGGGAGCAGCTGCCAGTTGCTTCCTACCTCTAAAATTCCTCCAACCAGAAGGGCTGAGATCTTTTCTCTGCCCCACCTTACTGCTTCCTATCTCCTCTCTGTCTACAGTCCTCCAAACCTCTATGGTTAATTTTGGTCAGCTAAGACAGGCTCCACCCTCTGACTCCAAGCAAGCTTTATTTGTCAGAACACAATAAAAAAAAAGCGAAGATTTTAACTAACATAGTAAAACTATATACAATAAGTACAATAACTATATATAAATATATACAGGCAAGAATTACATTAACAATGTCCACTCCATTTGCATTTAACAAATTCAGAGAAAATACTTCATTATCTATCTTTCCTTGGTGAGTCCAAAGTGTTGTACTTAATTCACGTTCTATCCTAACTTGTACTACCAACCCCAAACTCTCTTTTTATACCTCTCAATCTTATACACTTTACACCTCTTTTGTGAGTTTCTTTTCTGAATTTGGTAACAAGGAAAACTATAACTATCTAGTCTTGAACTCCATCAAAGACCTAAGAAGGGTATAATATTACCTGAATAAAAAGGAAGTATAGCACAGACAACTTCCAAAAGTAAGAAATGACAGAAACAGCTGGCTGCCTGGACAGTCACCTAAGATTCCTCTGTAATGGTGGGGCATCCATCTTCAGCCTACAGGCCTAGAATGTCTGACAGACATTTTTATGAAGCAGGAATTTTGAAGGATTGTCCCACTGTGTCTTGGTGAAGTTTGGCAGTTACTTTCTTTTGTGTCCCATTTGTCCAATTTAGACAGCAACTGTTAGCAGTCAAGGCAAGGGCAGTTTCTTGCCCAGTGGCTAACTTCTGCCACGAAGAAAGTAAACTCCATACTGGGTTCCTTCAATGCCCATCATCTTCTCTAAAGTAGATCAGTGCTGCCAGGAGTAGATGTGTCTCATTGTCACTAAAAAAAAAAAAAAAAAAAAGAACCGTATGTTATTAAAACATCTTAAATACCATATTCTATAGATCTCTGAAGTGTTTGAAGATCACATGTCTATCTAAAATATATCTCTGTTTGTCCTTAAAAACATACCTAACATAACTACAAGTTTGACTATAATAGATGACTAACTATTAACCTGCATTTCTTTATTATCCTAAATGGTTTGTAATAATAACTTTCAAGGACTAGAAATTTACATTACATTGTTAAATGAGCTATATAGGTACAATACCTTAGACAAGAGTAGAAACGTATGTACAGTAGGTTCTAACAAAAATAACCTTAAATTTGTATCAATATATAAAAATATCTTAAATAAGAGTAGAGACATATATACAGTATAACAAAAATAACCTCAAATTGGTATCAATATATAAAAATTCATACCAATGTAAAATATTTAAGACTAGTAGTTGCTTTTTTGGTTAAAAAGTAGATTCAATAATCTACCCTTTTAGCCTATCATTTTTATATCCCTCCCCTTTTTTTTTAGAACAAGATCCCTGAACCTAATCTCTTTTGTTCAGCTTTTTTCCTGACCATTACCAATAACAACTTATAACCAACATTCCTAAATATCCATAAACCACTGAATGACCAAAACCACCTGCTCCACCTCTTGGGAAGTTGGGTGTCCTGTTCTTAAAATGACTTCCTGTTGTCTGTGAGGTGACAGCATCTTTAGGGGACCCTGAAAAGAATTAGGGTAATTGTCAAGTCCTAGGAGAGCTGGATGTATCATTTGTTGTTCAGTCTCTGTATAATAGGAAAATGTAGGGCTTGTCTCAAGTCCTGGTTAGAGTAGTTTGTGAGGCTGAACTGTCTCAGCTAGCCACCTTGAAATTGTCCTGAGCAGTTTGTAGTCCAAAGCCAATCTTTGAGTGATGTTTGTCAGCTTAGTGGCGTTACCGCAGTGCAGGTGGAATCATCATTGTGGGGCCTCATCCTCCTTTTGGAAACTTCAAAGATCACTGTTAGGCATGGTCACAGTTCACTGCAGAAAATTTAAATATTCTAAATGTCATATGCAGCAGATCTCAAAGAGGTTAAAGGACTACAAATTGTTAAATACATTCAGGATACAAAAACTTAATTCCTAGTTACCTGATAGAGACTCAAACCCAAAATCATGTACAGGGAGCTAGATGAAACCTTTTTCTAGAATTAGTACTCTATATGACAATTAATATCATGACAATTAGTTTAAAATATATATTAAGTTTATAAATTTTCAAATAATATTTATACCTTAAGAAAAGTATTAAAGAGTCAAAATAAAACCAAAGAATTATGATATTAGTGGCAAAAGAATAGTCCCTTAATTTTGGTTTTTCTTCTGTTCCATATCAGGTGGCTCTTCTGACATGAGGCATAGATTTTGGATTTTCCTTTAACAAAGCATGCTTGGGTTTAGAGAAACAGAGAGCCACACTCCAACTCCAAAACCAGTGTTAATTTTTAATTGAACTGGGACTACTTAAAGACCATTTGTGTTATGTGTCTGTAGAGAACAGCAGAAACAAGCATTTGGGAAGATTTATGAAATCTTATCCTGTTGGAAATGTGATAGACCAATTGACCAATTTACTCTTTTTCTTGGGACATTCTCTCTGGATGATTCTTCCTTTTTCTTCAGATGTCTCATTTGTCCAGTGGTCTTCAGATTCCTTAGCTGGATGCTGATTTCTTGTTTCTTTAGAAAGAGTGTATTCAGTGCTAATGGGAGTCTTTTCCTAGGCATTTTAGAAGTGGAAATGAGAATTTCTCCTTGGGGATAGGATGCTAGAAAAGCCTGCAGAATTTTTCACAGCCTATAAAATGCCCATTACATTCATTAATATGCAGTCAATGATTTGTATCTGTGGGGTTTGTTTCCAAGACACACCCTGCCATGTGGATGTCAAAATCTATAGATGCTCAAGACCCTTGTATAAAACAGTGCCATAGTTCATATAATCTCTACACACTCTCCTATATGTTTTGAATTACCTCTAGATTACTTATGATATGTCATACTATGTAAGTATTACATAAATATTATTATGTGTTTTTAAGGGAATAATGATAAGCAAAAAAATCTAGACACATTCAGTACAGATGTAATTACTTTAAAATATATTTTTACTAGTAGTTGCTTGAATTTATGATGTGGAAATTGTGTATACGGAGGATCAGATTTATACAATATAATGTGTTGGGGAACAGAGGCAGGGCACAAATGATCAAGATAGGGATGTCTTATTTATCACTGATCAGAGGCTGTGTGCTATGTGATACCTCGGCCGGATAGTATTACACTCTGGAAGCAAAGGGAATTACCCAACCCAGTCTTGGCTCGGTTGCAGAGTGCTAGCTTTCCCTAGCCAGTGTCTGACTCTGAATGTCACTGCCCCGAGGGGTGGAAAATCAGTTTCCTGCAGGTAGACTGATCCTCACATGAGAAGAAGGATGCAGTAGAGCCATACAGGTTCAGTCTTTCTGTAAAGCCATAAATCTTTGCTTGTAGAGGACCTGGGGATCCCGGCTGCAGAGAAAGCAGGGTTTTTCCTTCATGGAGGTGTTTCCACGGGCAATGTGAGGAGGTGGGAGAGTCCCCTCAGCAGCTCAACGCTTGGTTTATCTGTCATCTACAGAAGATGAGGTGCCGCGGAGGCAAAAGAGAAGCAGAGAAACAGAAATAAAGTGGATGTGAGATGGGGGTGTGGGGGGGGGGCAGGGAAGACCCAGGAGCGTTCTCTGCTGTTGTTTCTCCTGCGTGTGGTGTCTTGACCATTTTGCTGTGTTTCATGGAAACGGAAGCAAACGGAGCTCTGTTCCCAACCTTGCAACACATCTCTTAATCCATTTTCCCTCTGAATTGTGCCTTCATCGGAGCGACAGTATTCTATATTGGAGATTGACTTAGCCTGTGTTCACCATAACGCAGTTTCTGAAGCAAACACTTGAAGTCAAGTACCAAGAAGAATGTGACTCAGGGAGGAGGTGTGAGAGAGGGGAGGGAAGCAGGAAAGGGATACCAGGGTATCACATCCTCTCGCACAAAGCCTGCTCCATTCCATCAAGAGTTTGGCCCTGTCCCCACAGGTAAGGTCGTCCGCCAGAGTGTTTCCACTACACTCTGCCTCCTGATCAACAAGCCTGAGACTGCCATGTTCCAAAGGCAAATGCTCCCGGGGCATATGCTGCCGGATCGTGTTTGCAGGAAACTGTAGCCTGAACACACAGAGTTGCCATGGAAGGATCTGGACGACGAAGCAGGTGAGTCCCGGACAATCTGAATGATCCCCAAGAAACGCTGGTCCCCGGTGAAGTTCTGTGAGTGCTTCTTTTTGTTTTTTTTTGGTTTTTTTTTTTTTTTTGGTTTTTTTTTTTT